CCCCCCCCCCCCGCTGGCCTGATCGCCCCTCACTGCCCCCTCTGCCGGCCTGGTCGCCCCTCACTGTCCCCCCTGCCGGCCTGGTCTCCCCTCACTGTCCCCCCTGCTGGCCTGGTCGCCCCATGCAGCCTGCTGCTCAGTCATTTGATCATCTCTCACTGACCCCCCCTGCCGACCTGGTCGCCCCACGCAGCCTGCTGCTCAGTCGTTTGGTCGTCCCTCACTGACCCCCCTGCCGGCCTGGTCACCCCACGCAGCCTGTTCGGTCGTCCGTTCAGTTGTTTTTGATGTGACGGCCCCTAGCTCTTTATATATATAGATATACATATTTAACTCTGAAATCATGTCATATATAAAGAGGACTTGGTTTTATTTTTTTCCAAAACAATGAACTGTCTCAGGAATAATTATTAACTACTGTATTATTTCTTCATTTATTTTATTTTATTTTATTTTATTAGATATAGACTGTTTCATAAATTTGCATGTCATCCTTGTGTAGGGGCCATGCTAATCTTCTCTGTATCATTCTAATTTCAGTACCTATACATACTGCCGAAGTGAGCACTGTTCACTATTTTTAAATTCTATCTTAATAAGCTAATATATATGCCCATTTGAATTTGTATCTGAATTTTCTATTCTGTGCCATAAGTTTGTATAGTATATAATTTCCATGCTATTCTAATTATTATGAATTTTTAATGTCTTAGTATCTGGCTCTCCAGATGTTAAATGCAGTCTGGACATTAAAATATATAAACAGCTCCCCCCGCCCCCCCCTTATACTATTCCTTTTTCAAAAATTGCTGGTATTACCCAGAACAATTTTTTTCCTGTCCCATCATTCCTACTCCAAATATCCCTTTGAAATCCTAACTGGAAGTCCATTATGTTTATAAATTAATTAAGGGTGGAAAACTGAAGCTCAGTGAGGTAAATACTTTAACCAATAAAATTCACACGATCAAAAGAGGTGGCTCTAAGGCTGGAACACAGATTTTTCTGGTCCTAAATCAATGTTCTCTCCACTAAAACAGTGCTTCTCAAATTTTAATGTGCATATAAATCACCTGGTACTCTTGTTAAATGCAGATTCTGATTCATATGAAGTGAGGCCCAAATTCAGCATTTCTAACAAGCTCTCAAGGGATGCTGATGTTGCAGTCTGAGGACAAGACTTGAGTAACAAGGACACCATATCTTTCAATCCACATAGTGCTGATGGGATGCTCCCTATTGGTAGTGAGGTCTTGCGTGCCCCTGCTTAGAAGAAACTGTCACTAGAAAGAAAACTTCTTTCTTGGCTTGGGCTGCCTTGCCATCCATCAAGCCTAGTTGCTGTCTTTCCTAAGGATATCACAGCAGTTGCCTTGTTCCTGAAGTCCACCACTGTGTAATTTGTCACAAGAGGATCCACAAAGCTGATCATGTGGTGCTGGCATAGTCTCTGCTCTTGGGTAGAAACCTTGTTGGTAATGATGTCTAGGCCTTCATAAACCTAGGAGAGAGAAAATTAGCATGAGAATGTCATAGGTCTCCTTTACTGTACACTTGATGGGTGTAAATGGTGATCTGCTCCTCCCTCCAGCCAAACACTTGACTGACCTAAAGCACCAGAGTAAATGTGATCTAACCAGAGCATACCCAGATCCACAAAACCCAAGGCAAAGGAAGCAGAATATAGAACACCAGCTTTCTTATCAAATATAGGTTTTCCCCACTTTCCCAAAGTACAGTGTTCCTACGAAACTTTCCATAAGATAAAATGGGGTAAAGCAAAGAAGCAATTATCATTAATTTATATGAGAACAATTTTGATCTTTCCCAGACCCCAAATTCAATCTATATACAATGTCTTTATTTTGTTCACCACAATTGAAATGCTTACTTGCATCCAGTTTTACACTAAGCATAACATCCTTACAAGCTCTTTTAGGCTTTGCTGACATCTTAGGACACATCTTACTAATGGATACACAAAATAAATCGAGATAAAGCACAGATGCTCACAGACACTGTTCGAAGCTATGAGGGCTCGACACTGAACTGGTAGGTGTAGTTCCCAGGGAAAGGGCTGGTGCTATCTTTATAACAACTTGCTGCAAAACAAATGATGAATGCTATTTTCACTTTTTGCCTTTTTTCATAAAAACAAAAATTCTCTTTGGATTTCTTATAGTAAACAAAAATAGTACAGGTTTCCCACACTATCCAAAAGAAGAGCATTTCTATGAAGCCTTTCATAAAATTAAATGGTGTAAGGCAAAGAAGCAATTACCATTAATTTAAAAACCTCTTAATTAATTAAAAATCCTCTTCAGATTTCGTTTGGTTACCAAAAACAGGTATTAATGTAGATCTTACTTGTAAAAGTGAAGTGGCTTTACTGAAAACTTTTGAAAAGTAGGAATACCTGTCGTGGCTATTAGCTCAGACTTAAAAATGAAAAGGTTATGTAAATCAGTGCCCAAATGAGAATTAATTCTGCAAGATTAACTAGAGGTTCTTTGGCCTGAACTTTAAGCTTCTAAACATGGATAGGCTGTTTTATTTATTCTATTTATCACAAGTCTCCAGAAAGGTAACATTTTGCATTGCTCATAGTTCTACTTCAAATGCTTACACATCCTGGGATTTAAGTGGCTCTGAAAGGATTTTAGAATCTGTATTAGATTGGCTATCTACAAGAATCTACACTAATAAAAGAGAAACATGGTAATTAGCGTACGACTGCTACCCTTCCCATTGGCTAATCAGCATATCCTTATGCAAATTAACTGTCAGCCAAGATGGCGGCCGGCAGCCAGGCAGCTGGAAGCGAACATGAGGCTTGCTTGCTCCAGTGACTGTAGACTCCAACGTTCCCCACCTGACTTGCCGGCCTCTGAGCTGCAACTCTAAGAAACTTTGTAACAAATATAGAAGCTAAACAAAACCCCAGAAACCAGCTTTCAGCCAGCCGGGATCTCAGAGCTGGAGTTATACATTGTTTCGATTATAGAACGCAATCAGCAGCGGAAGCCTCAGAGCTAGAGCCAGAGCTAAAGCTGGCCCAGAATAAAAAAAAAAGAAAAAGAAAAAAAGGAGCGGTTGGGAGCTTCAGTCAACAACCGCCAGCCTGAAAGCAGCCCTCAGCCCCTCACCCAGACTGGCCAGGCACCCCAGTGGGGACCCCCACCCTGAAGGGTGTGTGACCAGCTGTAAACAGCCATCATCCCCTCATCCAGGCTGGCCAGGCACCCCAGTGGGGACCCCCACCCTGATCCAGGACACCCTTCAGGGCAAACCAGCCGGCTCCCAGGCCTCTATCCTATATAGTAAAAGGGTAATATGCCTCCCAGCACCGGGATCAGCGGAACCGCAAGGCCTCCTGGCACCGGATCAGCGTGACAGGGGGCAGCGCCCAAACCCCCTGATCGCCCTGCAGCTCTGTGTGTGACAGGGTGCGGCGCCCCAACCCCCCCTCACACACACACACAGGCCCTGCTCTGTGTGTGACAGGGTAGAGCCATAACCTCCCCATCGGCCCTGCCCTGAGTGTGACAGTTGCGGCGCCCAACCCCCTGATCGGCCCTGCTCTGTGGGTGATAGAGGGTGGCACCCCAACCCCCTGATCCGCCCTGCTCTTTGTGTGACAGGGGGTGGTGCCCTAACTCCCCTATCAGCCCTACTCTGTGCGTGACAGGGGGGAGCTCCTCAACCCCCTGATCGCCCTGCTCTGTGCATGACAGG